CTGAGTGTAGAGTTTATCCAGAAGATAATGGGAGCCATAGAAGGTTTTCAAGAAATAGGGATGTGTGTGATTTGATCATGTTTGTATTTTATTAAAAAGTGTTTCGCCAGGAGGATAGGGATTGGATTGGAGGGGGTTAGTATTTCAGTGCAAGTCGGAAGCTGTTTTAATAATTTAGGGAAGAAAAGGAAAGGGCTAGAACCAAAGATTGTAGGAATAAGGGAGATAAGAGGAGGGAGGGGTGAAGAAGAAAAGAAGAATAAAGGAAAGAAAGGATTCAGCAGTTCCTAGCTTGGGCGTCTGAGCAGATGGTGATGTTATTTACTAAAGTGGAGAATATAGAGAGAAGAGCAGATTTGTATGGGAAAACGATACAATAATGGGAGGGGGGGGGAGAAATAGAGGGATCATGTAATCATATAGTTGGTTGGAGATATGGACCTGAAGCTCAAAAGGGCCATTTCTGGAAATGTAGTTACTTTGAAATGGAGTGGAAACCATGATAGCCTTTGGGTTTCATCATTTATTCCATAAATTCAGAGGTTTCAGTGTAAAGGAAGGTAGTGTGCAAGATGCTGGGAGTTTGATGGTGAGCAAGACAGATGCAGATTTGGTATTCATGGAGCTGATGTCCTTGCAGGGGAGAAAGACACTAAACACAACTATTTTATTACAGTTTAGATAAGTGCTAGGGAGAGGCACAGGTTCCAGGAACCCATGTGATGGGGGTGGGTGAGTGGTGTCAGGTGCCAAGGCAGTGAAAGCTTAGCTAAAGTAATACCGCATGAGCTGAACTTTCAAGGAGTGGGGTGAGAGGAGCAGCCAGATATGTGCAGTACTCCAGGTGGAAAGAACAGAATAGGTGGTAGGAAATGGTATGTTCCAGGAATGTGAAGACCTGTCTGGCTACAGCACAGAGAACCAGGGAAAAGTGACACAGTAGGAGGCTGGTGAGAGAACTGGAACCAGATTGTAGTCTCCTAGGGCACAGGAAGAAAAGTGAGTCTTTGTCCTAATGGTAGTGGGAGCCGGTGAGGGGCTTTCAAACAATACAGAAATAGTCCAGAAAAAAAAAAAAAAAAGAGTGGAGGCATGAGGACAGAACTTTAGAGTGGGAAGAAAAGCCAAGAAGAAGATGAAGAAGGGATGGTCAGAGAAACAAAAAGACTAGAAGGGGTCATAGAAACCAAGGATGGGGACAGTCAGCAGTACAGCCAGAAGGCTCTCGATAACTCTAGCTCAGGTTGATAACTCTAGTGCAGGTGCACTGCCCAGGCAGGATGAGCCCACTTCAACAGGCAGAGACCACTCTCTCCAGCTGTTAAGGGGAAGGGCTAGGTGGACAGGAGCTTAACTTACAGAAAAAGACTGTGCAACCACTGCAGAGGTTGAAGATCCAAGAGTGTGAAAGGAGACACTTGAATTTAACACCACCTGCAGCCTGCTGTATATGGAAACGAAGTCAAAGTGACCAAGTTTATGTAACTATTTTGATCAATATAGTTGCCTGGCAGCCCCTTGTAAGTTGATCCTAAGAGAAGATTTTGTTGTATTAAGTGGAAGGGCATTGTAAAAATAACTTTTTTTAAAAAAAAAATTTTATGTGTAGTCAGTCTCGGTGCCCAGATTATATAAGTGATTTTTCACAAGGTCACAGTGAAAATATTTGAGACTTTTTCCATAGGTTAGAGATTTTTATTTGATATTTCTACTGGATTATCTAAATTTTTATTTCAAGAAGTTTGTGCATTTTAACAGAGTAAAACAATGAAACATAGAAATTCCACTCCCCTTAAAAAGTGCCATTAATAATTTTATTCTCTTGACGTGGTCTCAGTGAAGGTCATCAGAGCTGAAAGGGTTATGGACCTGTATTAATTTTACATGAATTTCATCCTGTCGAAATAGGTCAATGTTTTCTTCTTTCCTCTATAATTTTTTAGTTTATGAGGCTTTTTCTTTTAGACAGCTTTAGGCCAGTTCTCCTTTTTGCAAATTGCAACTTACAGCTTGCAAATTGCATATATCGTCTTTAGACTTAGCTTAATGATTATTATTTCAATGACTTATTTTATGGAGAAACTTGTAAATTGTTTCAACAGTCCCCTCCCTTTTGATTCTGGCCAGAAACTTGTTATGGGCTAAGCTTAGACACATGGCTCCTGTTGCTCATTCAGAATCAGCACTTTGCTACCACTTTGTGGCTCAAAGTTTTAGGATGTCTTATGACATATCAGGCGCTTGGAATATATCCGAGAGGGATCTGATTTGTTTCTCTATCTGCACTCTCCCCATTTTGTAACTTAACATAGTACCAATTCAAACCACTTGTGTGGCCTAGATCTAAATACTCCTGCACCTTCTCTTCCAGAGTTTTCAGAAAGTATTCTTCTTTACACTGTTAATGTAACTATTTTGTCACATTTTAGGAAAGGCTTCAGGAGGTGATTATAAAAGTACCTCAAGATCAGGCATTATCATGTCTTCCAGAGGTCTGTCAACACTTACTTGGTGTCCATCTATCAGTTGTATAAAGCTGGTTAAATAATTCAGTTACTTCACAGTGTATTACCTTGTCAATTCATCTTAGAGGTTCTAAAGGTGCTATGTTGAATTTTTTTTTGCATAAAATCTGTATAACATAAAATTAACTATTAAAAAAATGTACAATTCAGTTGTGTTTGGTATATTAACAACATTGCGCTACCACCACCTCTATCTAGTTCCAAAACATTTTCATTACCCCAAAAAAGACCCCACAACCATTAATACTCACTCCCCATTCCTCCCTCACCCCCGCCCCTGGCAACCAGCATTCTGCTTCTGTCTCTATGGACTTGCCTCTTCTGGATATTTCATATAAATGGAATCATACAATATGTGACCTTTTGTGACTGACTTCTTTCATTCAGCATGTTTATAAGATTCACCCACATTGTAGCATCAGTACTTTATTCATCTTTATGGCTGAATTTCATTGCATGTATATACCAAATTTTGTTTCACAACTATGACAAAAT